ATATATACTCAAAAGTCAAACTCTACATCGACACTCACACACTCGCAAGTGTAACATGCACACATTCACCAAACAAACCACACGAACTGGTGAACAAAGACGCATTCCTCTAACCTTAGAAATCTCAAAGACAGGAAAACTGAAATAAAGGAGATAACGGTCGCATTTCGCCAGTAACATAAATGAATAAGGATTGTTTTAACCCTGAAATGAAGTAGAAAAAGGAAGGCCATTTCAAAATGTCCATCACACATTCTCTCAAGAACTGACCTTCACGGTAACAAACTCATTTTTAAAAAAAACCGCGAGAGAGTAAAGAAGACACGGAGTAAAAAAAGCGAGAGAAAAGTATTGCGAGAGTGTGGTATTCATGACAAAGTAAATGGGTATCTCCCTCTTTACGCGCAACAGCCCAGGAAAGAAATGTCATCCATGGAAAAGAAAGCTATTATGCAACAGGCAGGCAAATATCAACGGGGATGCACGGATTTAAAAAATAGAATCTATCTCAAACCCCTACCCCCACAAACACAACAAGACGTTTTTCCGGTTATGCTATGTTTTGTTTCGTTTTGTGTTTGTTATATTTGAGGGAGGGGGGTATATTTTCTCACTCTGTTTTTCTGTTTCTCTTTAAGTTTCACGATGCCTTGAAAAGGATCTCATTTCTGGGCCATGGGGTAAATTTGAAAATTCAATGGCTGAGCAAATATCGCAGTGTGCAAAGAGTAGGGCCTGGTGCTTCGGCAGGAACACCAACACTATGAGAATGTGAACATTCAAAAGTCGGATCTCTTGTGAAATTAATTTAATAATATTTCGTACTCGTGACAATAGCACAGTGAGCGTAACAAGCTGAGCAAAATAGAAAATGGAAATCTACGTCCTGACAAAAGTCCATTTGTCTGTTGAAAAGCCACATAAGTCTCTGAATGTTACACAACAATAACCCAGAAAAACCACAGAATGCTGCTGTCTTTACATAACTTTACATTTTACATTCTACTCATATACGATAGGAACATTGACATGTCAATGACTGTCAAAACTTGAATGGCAACCAGAACGGAAGATAAATTATTGTTCATGCACACCAACAACTTACCCTTGCCTTTCAACAGTCCAATAACATTATGTTTGAACAAGTATCCAAGTGGTATATATCCCAAATGAATCTGGTCTGCTCATGGAAGCATCGCTGCAGTGGCTGTTTCTGCAAAAACAAAAAAATAGAAGTTCACCTTACAAGTAATGGCTTGAAAATTAGCACATTGTCATCGAGGTTAAATCAAACCCATTTTTTGCGACTTTTTTTTTAAACGTTTGCCCGCAGCACACACTATGAGCTGCTCAATAGAGAGGACAGTTGTTGTTGTTGTTGTTGTTGTTGTTGTTGTTGTTTTTGTGGTTGTTGTTGTTGTTATTATTATTATTGTTATTTTGAGGGGTTGTTTTGTTTCGGGGATTTGTTG